GCTTTAAATTTGTGGAATCAAACATTTATTAAAACATCTAAACGTTCAGTAGTATCAAAACTTCAAAAGTTTTGGAATTTTATAATTTTCTAATCGAAATTATTTTTGAAACTCCGAAATCTTCCACAGATCTGTAATACTTTGGAGTTACTAAAAATTTTATATATCTGATATAAGTGAAATTTTCTGAGATAAAATGATACTCTACCTGGCTAGATCCAACACCACCGAGTTCTGGTGCAAATAAAACACAATATTTGCAAAGGCCCGACATTTCTTTTTACTGTAAGCCAACCATTTGTAGCCAGTTGAGTTGAAATTTTCTGACTTGATTCTCTTCCATCGCAGCAGGAAACTGAAATGTGGAATCTGGAGTTTCTGTTTTCATTTAATAATCGTAAACTTCTTCTTGTTTCAAAGCATGGAGTTTATCGACTCTGCCCCTCTAAATTCACTTGCTGCTATTCAAACTTCTCTCTTCTTTTCTGGAATAAATTAATGATAAGCATAATAACGAGCTAACCAAATAGTTAAGAATTTCAGATTATTTGTTATTCACGAAAGGACTCCGGAAGATGCTCCTACGATTCTAAGTCAAAAGATTTAATAGTAAGAAAGAAGATTTTCTGGAAATATTCGAAACGTATATCGGCCTTATGTCCAGTAAGGCTCTTTTATATAGTGAAAAATTATTAAAAATTTAGCTAAACATCAGAGCCGAACATATCAGTAGTACTTGTATTCACCGGTATATGGTTCAGCGGATCGAGTGGAAAGCCCAGTAATATGTAGAAATTCGTAGTTCGAAACCTGAAGAATGAAAACACATTTCTGTTTATTTTTTTTTATTTTGTGAAACAGTTTTATTAGAATGGATTTTTTTTAACGTATTTGAAAAGTTTGATACATTCAGTAAAACAGTATAACTAGAATGAAATTATAATATCCTTTCGTGGTAAACTTGCAATTTTTTCACATTTAAAAATTTTAAAAAAATTCCCTTGAGTCGGTTTGAACTACGTCCTAACGTTGCAAGACTACCCACTTGATCCGCTTAGCCATCTTCGAGTATTCATAAATATCTTACTCAGTCATGATCCGCAGCTGGATTTTTCTTTTTTTTTAAATTATCATTTGAAAATATTACTTGTATTAAAGTTTTCATATGATTGTCATGGAATTTCTATACTTTAAATAGAATTTGTCTTTTTAATATTGCAAGCAGTTTCAAAAAATTTCATACATCGGCCATATAAATCTATAAACCTTACAAATATTCTTGAAATTCCTAGCTTACTTAATATATACAAAGGTTTCTAAATATCTAAAAAATACTCGAAATTCCTTGATATTTTAACAACTCTTTACAAGCTGTGAGAAAAATTACCTTTGTCACCTCCTCAGTAACGTCTGTTGACGTCGAAGCTATTGTAGGCGTGCTTTCACCGTCCGACGAGTGGGGAAAAATTTCCGAATATCCATTATGTACCAAAGTGGTGATGCTGGCGATTCACGATTACGTCTTGCACATTTGCAATCACCCAGCAAGAATAACTTAAATTATAATAAACCCGGAAACACAAAGTTAACAAAAGCAGAAATGTTGCGCAAAACGTAGTGATTTTGTTTTTTACATCACATTGCATCAGCTGTGATTGTTTTAGTTTCATGCATATAGAATAAATCGATTATAATAGAATCCCAGATCATTGGGTTTCGCGGAAGGGCTTAAGCCCCTAGATCCCCCCCTGGGCCCGCCACTATACACGCCCATTGTTTCCGTAATCAAATATTCAAAGTTCTATGTATAGTCTGGCGAATTTGTTTCTGTTCGCATAATTATGCACATATTTCGTGTTACAAGGAATCCCTGGAACTATTTTAAATTTTTAACTTTTAATCTCACTCTTGTAGCTCCTACAGCCTTAACTACATAAATACGACCTTCTAACACATCCCATCACATAAACTGCTTGTAAGCTACTTTCAGTCTCTCAGCATCGTCATATAAACTCCGCCAGGCATCTCGAAACTGCTAAAAATGACGACAAAATGCTCATAATATGATGTGCAGGAATCCTTATGGCGATTTTATAAACCTACTATTCGAATTTCTTTGCTGCGTATAGGTCCTATAAGACCATTATTTCTGTATTCGAAGATATTTCATACAAACCATCAGGTATACAGGCTTCCGACGGGAGGGTGAATTCAGTTTCATTTAGGGTTTGACTGAACTTATTAATTTACGTTGAAAACAAGTAGAGCGCGTCGTTCTGCTACGCCTTTGGCCTCACTAATGCCTAGGCTACTTGGCTCATGTCTAATTTCATAGAATAAATGTGTGATGGGCATATTTGTATAAGTTAATTTGAAAAAAAAAACATTTATTTCTAATTCGAAACAATAAAAAAACTATCGGGCATGTGACGTCATACAAATTGTCAACAAAGATACGTCATCCGTATGTCACTCGTGGCCTAGCGGCTGGGCTGTATTATTCAAATAATTAATTTTCTCATTTTACTGAAAAAAAAACAATCATAAACGATGGATTCGTGAACGCAGAAAGCCGAAGTTTTGCCGGAAATTGAAACACTGTTGATTGTCAATTAACACTCCTATTAGAGTTGCAAGAATGATTATACAGTATTCCTTACACAGCATTGCATACTGTAAGAACATTGGCAAAACCCTCTTTGAACAGCTATACAAGCGGAATGGGCACACCTAATAGGACACTTCAGTCATTTAAGAGGTTGTATAAGGGTGCAGGTAACAGTTATACAACAAAAGTGTAAGCCTCTTGCAGCCGCTATAGGACATTTTTGCGTCAGTGCAAGATTCAGTTTTGTCAACTATACAACTATTCTGTTATGTGATTCTACTTTATTGCAAACAAACTATTTCTTATGTATTATATAGACGAACTGAAGAATATATAACTAACACATTACAATCATCTTGTTTACTTACATATCGGCCATTGTGAATTTCATACACAGGTATATGATAAACTTCTACACTGTGATATAGGGCTATTGAATTACTTGCGCAGCAAATTTTATTGTGATTATCGTGCAAATTAATTACGCAATTTCTACGGGCTTCGTATTTCATTCATATTTTGATAATGATCAAAAGTATGTCTAGATTTTTAAGATGTTTGCCCAATGTGGCGGGTGGTTGTGTATAATCGTGGCATCGTCCATGTTGTCTTTAGTTTATTAAAATATTTTGGTGTTGCCTGCAGGTGTTACACAACAATTTGACAAATGTCTGAAGTGAAATACCGACAGAGTCGAATGATTTACCTAGAATTTGTACCAGATCTATATCTTCTGTTTGAACAGTTGATGAAAACTTTTGAACCAATATGCATGCGTTGTTTGTCTTAAAACATTAGTTATGGCATTTTAACAAAAATATAACAGCAGAAAGTTAGGTTATGGTGAAGTTATATACCAACATATTTAGCAACAAATGTATGCCGAGCACAGCAATTTTGTACTACAAAAGTTGTAATATTGTTGGATATGTACAGCCTTTAACAGTTACTAAACAACAGTTGTATAAGTGCTTCCGTTGGGAGCAATTTGTTGGCTAAAGTAGTAAATTTGCACAGCAAAACAACAAGGCTCGGGTTTGTTTTACTAACGTTACCATGGATGCCACAGCATAACCATTTTGACTAACGTGCAAATATGCCGTATAAAATAGTTGTATAAACGTTTATGCAACAGTCAGTCCTATAAGGTGTTGTATAACTATGCTATAAGAATATTTTAAACACCTCATTTTAGAGCAAATATGTTGCAGAAAGCAAATTTGCATTCCACACAACATTAAGCCAGCATTTTGGTGTTCAGGCAACAACAATAGAGAGCTTTTATGGCTGAACGGTTCTTTTATCAAAAGCTTATATAGCACTACTTTGCTAGTTGGGTGCTCTACTGATCTGAGCTACATCAAAACTTCTAAGTAAGCACATTGCATCTGATATAATGATAGACATAAAAGAAATGCATGTAATGATGCACAGAAAAGGGAAGAATAAGTAAGTCACATAATCTCCTTTTTCAGAAGACTTTATCCTCAAAGAGTCCTTTATTAAAACCCTCACTGTTAAACTACTAACGTGGGTAACAATAAGTCTAGTTCCAGGAGGTCGTCTTATTCCAGTAGCGTAAGTCATTGTTTTAAGTTTGCCAGATTGTTGGTGTTAGTATCTACCTTCCACAAGAGAAGAAGGGACTTCGTTAAGGGCAATCCAAGAAAATACTAAACAAGATCTTTTTCTTCTTCCTACTTTATTAAAAGGCTCATGCCTGTTTTATTTCGGTTTTTAGCCTCAATTGATGTTGTCCCATTGATCTTCTTCCATTTGGCGATTTGTCTCTTGCTATTCGTGCTGTTCTATTTTCTGTCATTCTTTCTATGTGTTGATTCCATTCTATTTTTCTTCTTTTGGTCCACAGGTTTATTTTCTCTATACCACATCTCGCTCGTAGTTCCTCACTTCTTACTCTGTCTCCGCTGTGTACGTCATTATTGGACTTATTGTTGATTTATATATTCTAGTTTTCGTTTCCGTCGTGAGGTATTTGTTTCTCCAGATTGTATTGTTGAGACATCCTGCTGCTCTGTTCGCCATGTTCACTTGAGTAGTACAACTATAGGCGTTCTGGACCACCTAAAATAGCATGTGAAATTGTACCGTAAAACTTATAGGCGTTCTCGACCACTACACGTTCTGGACCAAAGTACGTTCTAGACCAGTCACTCTAGACCAAATTACAAAAAAAAAAAACCCCGTCGTTTTTCAACGCCTTTTTGCCACCATCCCCCTTAGTCGCGCGCGCGCGTGCGCATGCGCATGGGGCTCGTTCTGGCGAGCGTACTACTGGGGGTAGGTGAGGGGGTGTAGATAGCAGAGAATAAACGATACGCAACTACTGTGGGGGGGTAGGTGAGGGGGTGTAGATAGTAGAGAATAAACGATACGCTGTAAGGAGTTTATCTATCTTTATTTTGAGGTACGTTATGCATAAACAAAACATTGTACATCTTGTTTTGCTATTCTGGGAAACTTTTTCTTAAATTCTTCCACTGTATACTCTTGATCTCGATACTCTAGTTTTCCACCATGACCGACTAGCTTGTGCAGTCCATATCTACCGCAATGTAATAAGTTGTCTTTCATCGTCGTTATAGGATAATAATTTAAGTGATGTCCGATCACATACCCTATAGTTCGGTTGTCTTCGTTTTTAATCACTGTACCAAATGGCAAGCCACCTGGCGTTCCATCGTAATAGAACGCTGGGTATTCTTGTAGCACGACCTTGTCGTGTTGATAGATTACGTATATATAAAATGTTCCATCTTCTTGAACTGGTACAGTGAAGTCGAGAACTTTTATTACCCGTTGATTATTAGTGTGTGACGTCATTATTGCATTTAATTAAATGTTCACAGTTCAGTGGTTGACTGATGATTGAAAAGATTACATTGTATGTAGATATATATAGTACTTAGTCATTTGCAGATATTTTTAGACGTTTAGTCATTTTGGATGCAAATTTCTCACATTTCTCCAGTCTCTTAATTTTTTGTAACTGAGTACGTTCTTTTTGTTTCAGTGTTTGTAGTCTTTTACGTTCCTTGTTTAATTTTCTTGAAATTTCACTGAATTTCTTTTCGCATAGTCTGTTGACTTTTCGTAGATAACCTCCAATTATGCGCAGTTCATCGTTGTTCACATGTTTTCTATAGTCACAATAACCATATCATCTGTAGGACTGCTTTGCTCTTCAATATAATTGTTTACCAACTGTTGCATATCCTTTCCAGCATTACGATTTGCAGGAGCTGTTGGCGATACATCAATGGTGGTTGAATTATTAAAAATATCATTTCCGATTAAGAATTCATCCATATCAAAACTATCAGCCTACAAGAAAAAAAAAAATGAACGAATTAGCTAATGTATATTTTTATGTAACCATGATAATAAAACTTACTGAATGTACATAATTATGTGTCAATTTCAGATTTTGAGCAGAATTTTCTTCCATGGTAACTAGTTGTTGCGAACACAGCTTGGCTACGACTGAACATAACTATCTAAGGAAAGTGAACTACTAGGAATTTGTTGACGTATGTCATGTGTGACTTTCGAGAAGTATGAGTGTTTTATGATATATGTGCCATATATGTATATAAATAATAATAATACACGCCTATGCAATATAGAATAATACTGATCGTACCGCTGCGCTGTATGAATATGTGTGCTGAAGAATATTCTATAGATTTTAGTGAATACAATTCGTATGAAAAACGTATCAGTACATTTGAAAAAGGATGGGCTGGAACCATTAATCCTGCAGTGCTAGCAGCAGCAGGTTTTTTTTATGTTGGAAGTGAAGATATTTGCCAAGCGTTTTGTTGTGGGATAATAATGTACAAATGGAAGGATGACGACTGTCCTATTAAGGATCATCTAAAATTCTCAAAAAATTGTGACTATGCTAAACGAATGCAGAAGCTATTGAATAGAATGGGAAAGAAGACGGACAAGAAATTTGATATAATGCATCATGTGATTTTACTTTTAGCTTCATATTTATTAGTTCATTTTGTAAGTTCGATAACATTAACGATTAAATAAAACAATATACTTACAACAAGAATTTTATTTTGTAAATATTATCAATATTCACACAATTTGGAACCTTAATTTGGTACATTGTTACAAATATGAATATTTCTAAAGCTAACAATCATTTTTTGTTTTTGTTCATATTCCTCAATACACTTTTTGAGGTTATGTAATTTTCTCAGATAGGCATCTATTGAAGCGGCTACTGTAGTGTGGTCCATCTTGTTGCAAGGATGACTGACAACTATTTTCTCATTAACGCAAGAAGCCACTCTTGAAGCTCAGCACAGTTCCTTAAAGCACACATACATAGTCTCAAACTGTGATGTAGACATCGTGGTTTATTTTTATTGAAGTTCAACACATCTAGACTGGTCTGGAGTACATCTTCTAAGTTTATGATTTCTGGTTGGAATTCCTCATCGCGAAGGGAAGATAACAAAACTAGTTTTTGATGTCCTTTAACGTATACAAAATCAACGTCTGATAAATGCGACTTGATGATATCCTTCAATTGGTGCTGTTCCAAGAATCCAGAGGAATATTTCAAACCATGATAATTTTTTTCCAGCCATCGCACTTGCACTTTATCGTTTGTATTTAAGAAACAAAACGGCGTCAATGGTTTAAAAATATAGTGGGTTATCTGGTTACTAATTGAAATCGCTAATTCTTTAGCTAAAAACCCGTTTGAAAATTGAAACCTTGAACATCTACTGCTGCTATTTTCATTGCGTAACCGATTAAGATGATTCAAGTACTACGCACCACGACTGACTGAGAGCTTCGACTGCTAGTATGTTACATTTAAATTAGTTTCCGAACAATTTCGCTTAGCGGTAAATACTCTATCACAGAATCATGAATAATAATACAGTAAGTTCTAGTATCAGCGGGAAAACCTTCAGCAGATTCAAATTCTAGTTTTACATCAACGGTGGACGACTTTAAATCTTCGCTTCGCTTGGAACAATCAATAACAAATAAAGCATGAGTTTTGAATGTAGAATAGTCAAGTAATCCGTGTTTATCGTTATCATTTGAATACGTTTTGGCAAATTGCGAATACATATGATGAGCTTCCATATATTTATTATTTTTAAAATCTAACTTCATATCTTCATGAGGATAATAGTCCGAATTAATCATTAACTTTATGTTTGTAAGATTTGCGTTATCTAATATGTGCTTATCCGCTTTTGCTACATCTTTTCTAGCTGTTTGAAAGGCAACAATAACAAATCTTGGAACTTCTATAGCTGAACTTGTCTTTACTGACCATATAGTTTTCGTGGCATTATGAGGTAAGGATGGTAATTCATGTATTGACCACTTTCTATAACCCATAAGTATAGAAGTATCATTCTTTATCTTTTTAAGTACATCCAATTTTAGCGCATCATTTAGAAATATGTGTTTAACTTTAAGTTCAATAGAATTTATCTGAATGGTAGCCGTTGCGTCACCAATGACCTTTAGACAATTATGATCGTGTCTGGAACGAACCAAACGTATAGTATGCCTTCCAAACATTGGTTTTCTATAATCAAGAAAAAACCGAGAAGATGCCATAAGGGTATGCGAAATGAAAACGTCATATCCGCATTCAAAATTGCATTGGATGGAAAATTCCATCCAGCTATAGCCATATGGTTACTATCGTTAGGATTGTAACATAAATAACCTCTTATCATGCTCACAATACCAGGATCACGTACACGATCTAGTTCTTTTCCATTCAATTCATATGAAATTGAATCGAACATAAAAGCACCAGCGTTATTGACTAATTCTACTTTAGCTGAAGCGGTAGTAGAATTACTTTTTAGTAACACCTTACCATCGATACAGATAGCAGCTTCATACATCGCTAACCAGGCATCTTGTTGATTAATAGTTATTTCAATTTCATCATTATTATCAAAAGATTTTACAAATGGATAATATGTACGGTATTCTTCTTTTATTACAGAGTTATCGAACGATGGATTTTCGAATATATGATGGACTGACAACATTGTATCCCAAAGATTTTAAAAACAAAACGTTTGTAGGTGTTAGTGCTTTAGTTGAAGGATGACTTGCCTTCATAAGATGATTACGAAAGACTGAATCATAAGTTGCAAACTTGTTCTTTTTATATGTGTTACTATCGGAGGTAATAGATAATCCCATTTTAAGTTAATTTTTTAAGTTCCAGTCTAACAATTATCTCTTCCCCTCTAAAGTTAACAAGCTCTCCGTTTTGGTCTAATATACGTAAACTAATGTTATTGATAGTATGTGTTTCGGATACAGGTAAATATATCAAGTTACGTGGTTGAATGTCTATAGCATAACCAGCATCTACGTCAATGGAAAATTCAAAAATTGCGTGTGACGGTTTGCTGTTATAGAATGAACCTGTTGTAATATTACAGTCAATGTGTACAGTAATCACTTTAACTATTTTCACTGGTAGATCGGACGAATGAAGAATACCGGTATCTAGTACTTTTTTTGAAAATCCAAGGATTCTTCCAATACTATCTTCGTGCTTGAAATCTATAACGTATTGATTACTAAACAATTCGCACTTGAGAGTATTATTGTTCGGTTTGAGTGAAAACGGTGGTATTTTTTCCAGTGTTTCTGTATGAGTATTGAGATACTGTTCGATGTCACCTATTTCGTATACACCTGTTGGAATTGTTATTGTTTTCACTTTGTTGTCTTTCTTGTTATGGAAATAAAATTTATTGGCACCTTCTTCTATGTTTGGGATTGTGTTGTATGAATGAAAGCCAATCAAAGCAATTCCGTAAAGTGAATGAGGTTCGAGTTCAATTGGATTGATAAAATCAATGGATAGTACTGAAGAGCGACTTCTCAGAGTGATTAACTGTGACATAATGATACAAAGGTTGTTGAATCATTGAGTTTTATATAAAAATTCTAAACACAAATGTCCGCAATTGAACTGATCAAATGTTTGGTAAGGTTGATGATTATAAAGTATTTTCACACCATTACCAAGGTATCGAATTAGCTCAAGAGGAGGTTTTAAATTTCCAAAACTATCAAAATAATTAACTACTTTACCTATCTTCCTGTATGCTACCCAATGAGTACCAGCATTAGCACTAAGATCTAGATTGATAATTGCACACTCGTTATTTTTTGGTTTCGTGCTCGGTAGGGTATCCCTCATATATACATTTTTAAATGCTTTATGTTGAGCAGTTTCGCGTATCTCAAAATATCATGATCGGAAAGCGCTCTATTGGGTAGCTTTACTGGTAGTTTTTTGATTTCTGTTTTTTGACGTATAAACCACTTCCAGATGATTGTTTTTCCAGGAATAAACCCATACCACCATGCTTATTTTTATGTAGATACAAGCCAGATCCTCGTTTACCTAGTGCAATAGCTTCGATTGTTCTGTTATGTCGCTCTGCTTCTGCCAATTGTTTTTTGGCGTTCTTAACGTCGATAGCAGTTTTTGCAACCGCAGCAGCTCCACCTGTAAGTGAACCCAATGCCCCTAATGCTCCCAGTATAGGTAGAATTGGTAAAATGCCACCTGTCTTTGGTATCGGTATAATTCTAGGAATATTTACTTTTCGTCGCCCACCGGCACGTTTAATAGCTACGCGGGCTGCGCGTAACGCAGTCAGTGCAGATTTATTCAAATCCGCTTCATTGTCACTATGAGGTAGCTTTATTTTTTTCAATATATCTCGGTAAAAGGAAATGGACTTGAGTTTTTTTTATTCCATTTTTCTTAGTTGCGCCCGAATCCATACCTA